AGACACATTGTCCAGATTCCTGGCACATTTCCCCATCTGTACCTTTCTGTTTATTTCTGTATGACAGGGAAGGCAGTAAAGTCTTGTTTAAACACCTTGATGGTGTCTTAGTCAAAGAGAAAGCCAGAGAGTCAATAGCCTTTATGGTTTTTGCCTTAAGATACCTCTCCTCATTTGGATATACCTTTTTTGGGGGGTGGTACTGGGGTTTGAACTCAGGGTCTCATGCTTGCAAAGCAGGTACTCTACCACTAGAGCCACATCCTCAGCCCTTTTTGCTCTGGTTATTTCTGAAATAGGGTCTGCCTTTATTTGATCCTTCTATATATGCTTCCCACGTAGGTGAGATGACAGGTGCTTACCACCACACCCAGCTTTTGTTGGTTGAGATGGGGGGGGGGTCTCACAAACTTTTTGCCAAGGCTGGCCTCGAACCAAATCAGGATCCTCAAGATCTCCACCTCCTAAGTAGCTAGCATTACAGGCTTGAGCCATGATATCCAGCAACCCATCAAATTTTAAACCATCAAATTTATTTATTTATTTTTGTGGTGCTGGGACAGAACCCAGGACCTCACCCATAATAGGGAAGCACCTTACCACTTAGCTACATCCCTAGTCAAATATTCCTCTTATGTAGTAACTTTCCTGATTCTCAGATTTGTTTCCTTTAGGGAAGACACTTTTTTCCTATTCCCTCTTCCCTTAAAACCTACAAAGTGAGCATCATCATCATGATCCTCATTTTCACAGGTAAGAAATTGAAACCTTTTGGGGTTAAGGAACATGCCCAGAGTCACAAGATAGCAAATGGCAGGGTCAACTGTTAAACCCATATTTTTCCACGTAGACAGCCTATAATAACTGCAATAATAAAGGTTCAGACCAGTCATTTGTTTAAAAGTGTAATGCAAAGGGTAATTAATAGAAAATTATAATGTATTTAGTTATCTTGACTATCATTTCTTCTTACCTTTCCAAATCAGAGGTTAGTTTTGAAAGGGGGATATAAAATGATGAGTCTCACAACTGCAACTACTGTGAATAAATATGGAATATCAATGGCTTGTGATAGCTTCAGAACAGTTTTTACTTGATTTTTTTTTTTTTTTTTGTGGTACTAGGGTTTGAACTCAGGGCCTCATGCTTGCCAGGCAGATGCTCTACCACTTGAGCCACTCCACCATCCCTATTTGATTTGCTTTTCAAAAAATGAGATATAGCTAGGTTTGGTGGCACATATCTGTAAATTCTAGCACTCAGGGTGCTGAGGTAGGAGTATCAGGAGTTAGAGGTCAGCCCAGGCTAATATAGCAAAACTGTCTCAAAAACACTCCCTTAAAAATTGAGATATAATTCACATACCATAATATTTATTCTGTAATATACAATTCAGTTCTTTTGTTGTTGTTGTTTTTTGAGACAGGGCCTTGCTTTGTAGCCCAGGCTAGCTTTGAACTTCACATCCTCCTGCCTCTGTCTGTGAAGTGCTGAGATCAAAGAAAGAAGTGCTGGGATTATAGGTGTGTACTACCATGACCAGCTTCAGTTGTTCTTAGTATATTCACAAATTTGTGCAACCATCACCACAAAATAGTCTGAGAAAGTTTTCATACTTTGATTCACATTTGAAGGCTCTTCTCTTCGAGGAACACAAGATTAACTATGTATGTACAACTGAGAACTCTAAGAAAGATGAAGACAGCTCAAATGAAACTAGCGTCAGTAAACAGAGGGCTGCTACTGCAGTCTTAAAAAGGGAACTATATTCCTAGTATTAGAATATGACATTTAGGAAGCACTGAGTCTGTGGTCAACCCCAGCAGACACAATTTGACACCAAGCTTTGTTAAGCAACAGAAAGCCACTGTCAGGAAAAAAAAAAAAAAAAGTTAAAAAAAACTTTTAAATTTGAAATAATTTTAGATTTACAAAACAAAGAATAGCATAGAGTTCTCTCAATGTTAACATCTTAACCACATTTGCTCTTTCGCTCTCTACAAATACATACTTTGAACTTTCTGAGTGTAATTTATAGATACAATTTCTCTTTATCCCTAAATATTTCATGGCCATGTCCTTAAAATGGTATCTTAACTAACCACAGTAATACTATGAAAATTGAGAAATTTAAAAAATTTATTTAATCTATAGATTTTGTTCAATTTTTGCCTATTGTCCCACTAATATTCCTTAAACAAAAAATGGTCCAGGGTCACTTCTCCTAAACTTTTAAGATCTAAAATAGTTCTTCAGAGTTTTGTCTTTCAAGACCTTCACGTTTGATGATGTGTCTCTTGTCCCTTAGGAGTAAACAGACAAACAAAAAACAAAAAGAAACCTCACTTATTTTGAAGAGTTTTAGGTGTCTTGAGTGAAGACTTGGTGAGTGAAGACTTGGAGGAGCTCCTCTCAAGTTCCTCCCAGCCACCTCTACTGTAGACTTTTTAAAAATAGATGGTGGTGACAGCAATGAAACATTTTTGTGCCCAGAACTGATTCACTTGTATTACACAATTTTTTCTCCTTGCCATTCTTGTCTTTTACAAGTTTAACTTAATACAAGTTTGTGAAGAATTAGCACCTAGTTTTCAAAAATATTCGAGTCTTAAATTACCTGTAAACTCCCACTTTGAGAATCTCACCTTTACAGTGATGAACTACACTCTGGGTTCAGACAAAGCGCTGCAAAAATGGGTGGGTGTATTACAATCATTCAACAAATATTTGTTGAGTTCAGAGTATATGTCAGGTTGTATTTCAAGCCCTGAGAATATATTCTACATCAAAAAAAAAAAAAATCCCTGTTCTCGTAAATCCGGTTGGACAAATTAGAACTAAAGAAAAAAAAATCAGAACCAGGGAGCCAACTGCCTTTAACAGAAGGGGAAGTGTGTACAGAGCGACAGCTATGAGGCTCAATATTCTAATGTGGACAATGCTGCTTCGGTAAACGCGCTTATTCTAAGTCAGACGCACTACACTGTGGATCCAAACACCAGTGCCTTGAAGAGTCTGGCGGGGGTCGCACTTCCAGAGCAGTTGCCGCGGCTTTTCCAGCAGCTGTCGCCGGCTTGGCTTCCGACCTCCCAGCTGCCGCGTGCGATCCGCTCCGCCCTGCTGGGGCCACGCAGCGGGTTCAGCGCCCCTGCGAGGTGGCATCTCTCCCTCCCTGCGGAGCAGAGCACCTGGGAACCACGCATCGAAAGAGCCCCGCGGGGAGGTGGATCGGGGGAACCGGCTCCTCCAGGCAGCCTCGCCCACTGCAATGCAATCTGGGTGGTTTTCCCAGGTCCCTCCCGCCCTGGTTCCGCACCCAGTTCCTGCCCCCGCGACGCCGAGGGCTGGGGGAGGTTGGCTCTGTGACACCTGGGCTAGGGCGAGGCCTGGCTGCCACTGCCAGCCAACCGGGACAGATTCATGATCGCGCATCTTGAAATCCCGGAGAGGGAGGCACACGATCCTGGAAGTCAAGCCATGGCCGAGTGGTACCGAGCTCCCCGACGGGCACTCGCAGTGCTGCGTCCCGCCCGCTCTCGGGGGATGCCGGCTGCCATCAGCACCGCAGGCCGCCCAGCCTCCTCCCGTTCCTTGTCCTACCAGGAAACGGGCGGCACCGACCTCCGATTCCTGTCCCCACTCCCGGGAGCCTCAGTCCTCATAGGGAAAGCCGGTTCTCCAGCTTCCCCCGACAAGCGTCCCTGCAAGGTTACCAGAGTGGGTTACTCAGGCAGGTGTATGACTGCCTGAGTTCACATCGTGAGCAAGAAGGGCTGGACACCTGGAGCCCAAATAGTACTGCTTCCGACGAATTCCTGGTCCCAAGAGCAGACGGGTTTGAAACATAAAACTCGAGGAAATTACACCTCTGGCGCTTTTCTCTCTAAAATGTCCACATGACCTACACCACGTTGCCGTCGGACTTGGGGGCAGGGGTGACGGTGGAAGCTCCAGCCTCCGGGCAGAACAAGCCAAGCCAGAGAAAGGGAGGTTGTTTGGGACCTTGGTCAAGTCACACTCCAAGCACAATGCGAGAGGGCACAGGGTTAGAGCGGGAAATTACAGAAAAAACTTGCTTGGCCTGGTTTTGGGAAACCTTTATTAGACACGCGGGACAGATGCATGTTACTTCGGTCCCAAGACAAATTAAAAGTCAGTGGGCCCCAGCCCTGGAGGACGTTCCAGTCTCAAACTAGCAGCCAGGACAAACCAAACAAGAGGTAGCAATTAGAGGAGATGAGGGAAAAGGCAGTGGGGTGCATTGTGCCCCAATTTCCTCACGGGGGTCCCCCAGCTGCCTTGTGCGAGGTGAGTAACTGAGTCCCGGGACGTGACTTGGTGGCAGGCCGTCCAGCCGTGCCGCGCGCGGGCTTCCTCACCCGAAGGTTGGGTAGCACCTCGGGGCCGAGGGAGTACGCGCCGGGCTCCGGCCAGGCTGTTTGCACTGAAAGGTGTGTGGGCTCGGGAGCGGCTTTTCCGGGGTTCGGCAATTGTCCCCGCCACCTCCCGGCTGCCGTTGGCCGCTCCCTCCCACCGCGGCTCGCCCTCCCGGGGCGCCGCACCCTGGGCTGCTCCGCGCCCTGGGCCTCACCTCTGGCCTCCTTTCGCTTCCCCGCGCCTGGCCTTTTCGCTTGACCCTTCAGAACCTTCGGCTGCGCTCCCCACAGCCAACCTTCCTCGAGCCCCCTCATACCTCTCGGTTACCTCCAGCAGGGACCCTTCCCCGCGACTCTGCACCCTTCACCCCTCACCCTTTTGCAGTCCAGCCCTGTCTAGCCTCTGGGTGACAACCGCCTCTTCCCCGCCCCTCCGGCCTCCCCTTCCTCCCTCGCCCTCGCCTCTCCATTCATCCAGCCATTGTCTCCCGCCCCTCCTCCCCCTCCCCAAGCGGCCTCCTCCCCCACCGCTGCCACGTCGTGGTTTGAAGGAGCCAATGGGCCCGCGCCGCCAGGTGTCTCTTACCTGCACCACGTGGGGGAGGGGGAAGGGGCGGGCAGGTAGAGCCACATCCCAAAACAGAAACGCTTTCAGCCATTGCGCGCGCCTCCCGGGGGTGCAGCCCTGCTCCAGGCTTTTTCGTAGACGCACGGGCAATTGAATACAAAAAGGGCAGGCCTCCTGCGCCCTCCTTCCCACCCCCCTTCCTGCCCTGGGTGTGGAGCACCGGCCAGGTGTGGGCTTGGGTGGTTGGTTACCGCCTTTTGCACCAGCGGCAGCGAGGAGGGGGGGGTGGGCGCTCTTTCTTTTTCTCTTAGAAGAGGGTTTTAGCACTGGTTTTCTCGTTCTCACTTCCACCCCACCTCACCGCCTCCCGACCCCCCTTCTCCCCCCTCCCCACCTATCGTCATGACGGCGTCTCCGGATTACTTGGTGGTGCTTTTTGGGATCACTGCTGGGGCTACCGGAGCCAAACTGGGCTCGGATGAAAAGGAGCTGATCCTGCTGTTATGGAAAGTCGTGGATCTGGCCAACAAGAAGGTATTTCTCCACGTTTTTGTCTAAATGCAAGGAGTGGGGCCGGAAGTTTGTGTGGGAGTTGGAGAAGGGATAGGTAAAAAGGTGCTCTCGTTTGCCCACTTGTGAAGCTGGATGCGAGGCCTAGAGGATCAGGAGTAAAACCAAACTTGTTGGCCAACCGCCTTGGAGCCATTTCAGTCTCACGAAACCTGGCCCAGGTGCAGAGGCCCGGCGCTGCCCGTCGGGGGACGCCAGGCCGAGGTCTAGTGGGTTCCTGAGGCGCTAGGGTCCGCTGGCAGGGCTTTGGCGACTTGATCCGGGTGGGGGTGGGGCGAGGGCAGGGACGCGCCGGCCGCTGGGCGACTGGAACTGCTGGCGTCTAGGGAGCTTTGATTATGCAGCTGGACCCCTAGAGAGGCGCGGGCCGGCCCCGCCGCAAGCGAGGGAGGAGGGGAAGGAATTTCCGAATTGGAGGGGAAGCTGACCCCCTTCTTCTCTCCCTCCCGGAGGTGGGACAGTTGCACGAAGTACTAGTTAGACCGGATCAGTTGGAATTGACGGAGGACTGTAAAGAAGAAACTAAAATAGACGCCGAAAGCTTATCCTCCGCGCCACAGCTGGACCAAGCCCTCCGACAGGTGACAGCCCTTGGCCACGCCACCCACTCTCAATCTGGGCCGCCCGGCAGCCCCTCCATGGGGCCCGACCCCATAGTTCCACGCCCTGTAGGGCGGTCCCCGCTTGTCCCCTGGGGCGGGGTGGCCAGACTCCCAGCGGCGTGGGTGGAAGCGCAGCCTTGGGACCAGGGAAGGGGCGTCTGGGAGGGGACGCTGCTCTTCTTGGTCTCCCAACCCTCAAGAACTTGGGGGACCCAAGTTCGCTAGTTTTCGAGTTGCGTCCCGAATAGTTTTTGGGGCAGGAGATCGGTCGCTGCAATCGAATGACGAGCGGAGTTTGAATCCTAGCGCCCCCGTCTCCAGGTTCAGACCCCAGACTCGCCAGTCCCCGGCGGGTTTGGGTCGGTCTTTCAGCCACTGGAAAGGGGGCGCTGTAGGGTAGAGATGCAGACCTGCCTGGCGCCGTATGCTAGGCGAAGTCAGTTTTGATCCGACCCTGAAAATGTTTGCCTGGTTTCAGTTTGCTGAACTCCCAAAGGCTCGGTTCCTTTATTGCTTCTTTAGTGGCCTTGATCCAATTCCAGGGAGGGTTTGCAGGTCCGAACCTGTAAGGCTGCTCGTTAGGTCATCGTGGACCTGGTGGAATCCCCTTATTGGAACTGAGGTGACCTAAAAACTGGCTGCTCCCGGGGGTGCTGACGGTTCTGGAATCGGGAATAGGGCGGGGCGCTCAACACCTGTGCACAGGTGAATGCCCTGAGCTCTCACCGCCTCTCCCCTGCACACGAGTTTTTGCATTATAGGGAAATGTTATCACTTCTGGGGTATATTCCAGCCTTTTCAAAGCCCTCTGCATTCATTAGCCGCTCTGTTTATGAGAAATTGCCATCTTAAACTTGGCACATCCAAACATTAAAAAAGAACGTCAGGGAATGATGATGTAATCTGAAGACAACCTGCCAGGGAAGAGACCTGGTTTGTCTTGAATGAATTTATCATAAAAATAGAGGGGGACTGAAGATAAAAGGCACTGAGCACGCACTATGGCTTGATTGGAAAGTTTCTTTAAAGGAAGTTAGCAGGTTTTTTGGAAAGAAGTTTTGGCTCTGTCGTGTTGCCCTAGCACCGGTGTTCTTCAGGGTCTTCAGGGCATTTTCTTTGGTTATCGCTAAGTGGGGCAACTTGCAAATTCTGTCTCAATGGCATCTCCTGTGTGTGCGTCTTTTTCAGTTTAACCAGTCAGTGAGCAATGAGCTGAATATTGGGGTAGGGACTTCCTTCTGTCTCTGTACTGATGGGCAACTTCACGTCAGGCAAATCCTGCATCCAGAAGCTTCCAAGAAGGTAAGGCTGCTGGACTCTAGAAGAACGCTTGTCCTACTGCTTGTGACAGGAGACTGGAAAAACCAAAAAACACCGAACAATCAACAACAACAAAAAAAACCCAGTTCATTTATTCTATTTATCCTGGCTTCTGAACAAACTTGAACTTTTGGGGGTGACAGGAGGTTTTTTGAAAAGTGGTTTACCCAAATTTTTTTTAAACTGTATTTGGGAAGATTGAAAAAAAAAAAAAAAAAGAAAGAAAGAAAGAAAGAAAAAAGAATAGTGGTGATGGTTGCAAAATGCTAATGAACTAGGCTGAGGCTACAGCTGAATGGTAGAGAGCCTGCCTACCCTGTGCAAGAGCCTGGATTGGATCCCCAGCAATGTACACAGTGTTCACGTAATTCACGACACCAAACTATACATTTAAAGTTGTTGATTTAGGAGGTTAGGGATGTAGTTCAGTGATACAGCACATTTATAATATGTGCAAGACACTGAGTTCACCCCAACACCACCCAAAATGTTAAAATGGTAAATTTAATATTAAAACTGCATGACAATTTCATGGAGCTGTAGGGGATTGCAGTAATTTTATAGAAAACCTTTGGTGGTTTTTGTTACCCTTTTCCAAAGCTGAATTTTTAATCACTTAAAGTAACTAAGAGTAGGGAAGGAAGACAGTGTTTATACTTAGCAATATTTCCATTTGTGGAAATGTCTTACCCTAAAAAGAAATATTAGCCTAAACCTTTTAAATTGTATTTCTAATTGGTTAAAAGACTATTTATTTAGGTGTTACTTAAACACTTAGATTTTATGTAAATGTTCAAAGCCTAAATCTTGAATCAATAGGCCCAGGTCCTTGTCTTACTATTTGTTACCTTTTCTGATGTGGAAAAGATTGTGACATGAGAAAATACAGTTTTACCTTGGCTATATGTAATTTCTCTCCCTGGGAAGAATATTTAGGGGCTGTGGGACAGTGAAGAACATAGCCACTCAGTACACCAATCATTGTTAATACAGTTGCTGTTAACTCAAATTAGTTCGAGCTGTCCCTTTTCATTATAGTAGGTGGGTACTGAGCTTGAAAAGACAGAATATATTTGGGTAACTCTGTGAGGCAGGTCTTACAGTGAATGATGTAGATTGATAGTTGATGATACAGGCAAGTGTAGACAGTGGATATTTTCTTTCTCTTCATTCCCTGAAGTAGGGAAACCTGGGAAGCTAGTTAAAAATATAATAATTTTAAGAGTCTGCGAGAGAAGCAGGGTATGGTGGTGGTGCATGCCTGTAATCCCAGCACTTGGAAGGCTGAGCTAGTAGATCCTGAGTAGAAACCAGCCAGGACTACCTAAGAGACTCTGCCTCAAAAAGAAATGAACAGCAATGACAAAAGTCTGAAGGAGAAACTGAAGTTTCTCTACCGTAATGGTTGAAAAGATCACTCCTTTTATGATTCTTAGTCATAATTCAATTTTATTGAAGTCTAGACCAATTGCCATATCCTTGATCAAGAAATAGATACACATAAAGATTATTATTTTCCCAAAAAGTCATAAGGCTTTGGGGTGGGGGGGGGGCAGGCCAGCAAGACTTAATTCTTTCCCTACTGGAACAAAGGAAAGCACCTGTTATCATTATTTTAGATGAACTGCTTTGCAGAAAAACTTATGGAGAAAAAGGAAGATATCTTCCTGAGCCATTTCTATTAGGATTAATTAAATCCTAATTAATTAGGATTTTTTAGTTCCATTGCATAGTGACCATGATGCAGTGACGATGATTTTAAACTAAGTACAAAAATACACATTGCTAGAACTACTAAATATTACAACTTAATCTTTTTTCTAAACTTTGTATCTGTGAGAAAACTGATTAGTTAAATATGAGAAACTAAAACAGTTTATGTGTCATAATGAAAGTAATTCTATATATTCATTTATATGCAAAATGGTAAAAATAATATATTACATAGAAAATAATAGATTAAAATGCTTTTTCCAAACATGAACATATTTGGATAAATTCTTCCAGACGTCTGTAGAAAAGCATTATTTTTACAAACTTCTTTTCTCTGGTTTATAGCTTAATATAATATCAACAGCTTCATAATTCCTAAATAAAATACTTAGTATTTTTAATTGATTTAGCTATTTAAGCTGACCCTTATTGTCATATATATGAGTTATTATAAACAGCTTTTTAAATGAGTTTTTATAGGTAATTGTAGAGATTTTCTTTCTTTTTTAGTAATTCTTGAAAGCTGTGGCCATGATGCAATGACACTGATTTTAAAGGTAGCATGCAAAGATCACAATAGAATCTAAAAGGAAGAATTTGGATGGAGGAGACATTGTTGTATAAATATTCAGAACACATTAAAACTCTTTATTTCCTCCATTTTTTTAACCTGTAAAAAAGTAAGTAGAAATGTACAAAAACTATTTAGAAATTTTAAGAGAAATCTAGGGTTTTTTTTGGTGGGGCCGGTATTAAATTTCATTTTAAAAATTTCTCTTTAGTTTGGTGTGCTGGTACATGATTGTGGTCTCAGCACTCAGGAAGTTAAGGCAGGAGGATCAAGAGTTCCAAGATAGTCTGGGCTATATAAGAAGACCTTGTCTTAAAAATAGTTATCTTCTAAAAGCTGCTTAATGAGGCTCTCCTCTTTTCCCTTTGCATGGAAACCAGGGCTTTGCTCATTCTAGACAAGCACTCTACCACTGAGCTACATCCCCATATTTTTAAAATCTAATTCAAGCTCTCAGGTATAACCAGAATAGTGGACAGGGAACTAATGTGGGACTAAAATTTAGCACAAAATAATGCTTTTCAGTTAACCAGGAATCTACTATTTTAAACTAAGCACAAAAATACACAATGCTAGAACCACTAAATAGTACAACTTAATCTTTTTTCTAAATCAAAATACATATGGTCTAAAGTGATTATGTCTGGGAAGAGTGTATTATTACCACCCAGAAAATAGAAAGCCTAGCAGCCTAAGTGTGATAGAACTTCAGAAACAGTTTGAATGGAATGCATAAGGGAACACAAACGTTGTGATCTATTTCATTAACATAAGATGACTTTTTTTGTGAGACTCATAAACAGGATCTGTTATAATAATAGGAGTAGCTATTAAAAATGATGCCATTCTTACATTGAGTCTTATATTTTTAAAAATTGTAGCAAAATATGCTTGCATTCAATTGTTAGGTTCCTAAGTACTAGGCAAGCAGTGAACCAAGTTCACTTAATTAATAATCTCTACCTTGTCCTTTCTCAGAATGTATTACTACCTGAGTGCTTCTATTCCTTTTTTGATCTACGAAAAGAATTCAAGAAATGTTGCCCTGGCTCACCTGATATTGACAAACTGGATGTTACAGCAATGACAGAATGTATCCTTTAAAAGGTTATCCAAAAATCATTTGAAAATATAGCTCCAGGAAAGTATGGTAATTTAAGAAACTTTTAAATGCTTTCAGTTTTGTCAGTGTATGGATGAAATTGTCCAAAATTTGTGGACATACCATGCTAGGAGGAACAGTACAATTATAGACATCTTTCAAAGTAGTTATAATTAACTGAACAGTTGGATGGTTGTGTAGATGGATTTTTGTTAGGTGATTGCATCTAAGATAAGATTTGATTTCAGATGAGATTTTTTGTTTTTTGTTGGTGATGAACCAGAGAAGAATGTGAAGACTATGTTTTTTTGCAAATTCCAAGACTACTTGCTTTTCATTATCTTGATCTTGGGGTTTATTTTGACTTCTTTAGAATGGATAAGATTTCTTTTTTTTTTTTTTTTTAAACTACTGTTTACCTCTTTTAACCTTCCTGAGTTTCTCACAAGATCATGACAATTATAGTAAGACATCCTTGGGGATGATAAAATGAGGTCTGGATTGTCCTCACATTCTTTGCTTACCAATAGTATATTTGATGCATTATATGTTGTAAAAGTAATTTTACAATCCTAAACCCTATAGTCAAGAATGACCCTCTGAAGTGCTAACTAATAAGTAGTCATGTGTTCATGTATCAGAAACTGAGTAATAGTTGAGATGACTCCTTGACAGCCACTGGGAGACTCCTCATGAAGTTCAATCTAAGTTACTTTCAGGAACTTGGGGGTATAGACAGGGTCTTGCTAGGTGAGTCTGAGGTTCGCTTGGGCTACATAGCATGACCCTGTTTCAAAAAAAGAAAATAATTTTCTCCAACTATTCAGTTTCCTCTTAAAGCGAAGGAGACCTTTGCCTAGTGATTATAGGTCAACATACTAGTAAAACTGTCCATTACTAAAAATGGAAGTTTCTTCTATGTAGGCGTTTTGATTTTTCTCAATGTGTTGACAGTTTAGAAAGAAAACTTGTTGAAAGTTCACCCATTATTTATTTATTTTTCCCTCCTAATGTCTTCATAAAATTTGGGAACATGAATGAACATTTTTAAAGTGGTTACTTGGGTTTTTTCCTTGCTCTGTGTTGCTTTCCAACATTTTACAGCACTTTTTATTATCTGATCTTTAGGTAAATGAGTAGGATGCTGTGCCAATAAGTTTTTCTGTCATTTCTTTTAATCCTAGCTCTATAAGCATACATTGGCAATTTATTTTTAAGTGCTGTGATAATGAAAACCAGACACTTGAGTCTAGCAAACAGATAAGTTGTGAATAAAGCTGAGATGGGTTCCATTTCATGTGCATTGCACCTGATATTTGAGGCATTCATGGCCATTTAGCAGTGCATTCACTGAAAAATGATAGAATTTCCCTGATGAGGTCACCAAACCAATTTCTAAGGTCAAAAGCAATCATACTAAATTTGAGTGTCAACTTGTGTTCATCTATGCAAAGTATTTTTATGGTGTCTGCACTGAGGAGTTTTACCCTTCCAGACCACTAAATAAACATTTTCCTTGTTAATTTGTAAATGGTCCTAAATTTGGAAGTACAAATATATCCATTAGATATCTTTGGTTTTGCAAGGTGGAGAGGCATTTCCTCCTGTGGGATTACCTGTTCAGGTAAATCAGTGGGGAAGGGAGAAAGTCTCCTGCCATCCCCTGGGAAGGAACAAGTTAGAGAATATGCAGATGAATGTGCTTATTTAATTTTTGTTGCTATAGAATAGTTTTATTCTTGTTAATTTAATTTTTAATTATTTTTTTGGTTTTGACGATTGAACCCAGGGCCTTGTGCATACAAAGCACACACTACCAATTAGCTATACCCCCAGCCAATATTCCTGTTTTTTATTTTTAAATATGCATAGATATATGGATTTGTTTTGAACATAGTTGAAATCAGATAGTCTTTTCAGCTTTGATTTTTTTTTTTTTTTTTAAGCCCAAGAATACATGTTTTAGATTGCTCCATGTCTTTTCATGGCTTTATAGTTCACTTCTTTTTAGCACTGCATAGTATCGCATTGTCAGGATGTACTCCAATTTATTTATGCACTCTGCTATTGAAGGACAATTTTGTTGATTCCAAGTTGTGATAATTATGAATAAAACTGTCATAAACATGGCCACATAAACCTGCCACACAGGTTTTCACATGGATATAAATTTTCAATTCATTGTGTAAGTACCCGGAAGTATGGTTGTTGGATTGTACAGTAAAAGTGTGATTAAAAAAAAAAAAAAAAAAATATATATATATATATATATCTTTACTGCAATTTTGTGTTTAACACAGATTTCTTTTGGGACAAGAAAGCAATTAGGCCTTCAGGGTTTTGTTTTTGTTTTTCTTAATGTAGAGGGTGAATATGCAGTATTTCAAGGTGCTTATGGACAATGAAAGAAAATAAGAATGTAGTCACTTTCTATGCAAACATTCTACCTTTGAGGCACATCCTCAACCAACCCAATGTTGTCATTTTCTAGTGGAAGAGAGACTGAGACTGAGTTGTAGTTATGTATTCTAGGCCTCAGAGGGTCTTACCACTCTGTTCTGCCTTTCTAGATGTTTTTTTTTTTTTCATTTTTCTTTTATTATTCATATGTGCATACAAGGCTTGGTTCATTTCTCCCCCTGCCCCCACCCCCTCCCTTACCACCCACTCCACCCCTTCCCGCTCCCCCCTCAATACCCAGCAGAAACTATTTTGCCCTTATTTCTAATTTTGTTGTAGAGAGAGTATAAGCAATAATAGGAAGGAACAAGGGGTTTTGCTGGTTGAGATAAGGATAGCTATACAGAGCATTGACTCACATTGATTTCCTGTGCATGGGTGTTACCTTCTAGGTTAATTCTTTTTGATCTAACCTTTTCTCTAGTACCTGTTCCCCTTTTCCTATTGGCCTCAGTTGCTTTAAGGTATCTGCTTTAGTTTCTCTGCATTAAGGGCAACAAATGCTAACTAGTTTTTTAGGTGTCTTACCTATCCTCACCCCTCCCTTGTGTGCTCTCGCTTTTATCATGTGCTCATAGTCCAATCCCCTTGTTGTGTTTGCCCTTGATCTAATGTCCACATATGAGGGTTAAATGCAGCCTTCCCCAAGGCTCACTTTTATCTTGGATTTTCCCAAATGAAAGCCTTGTGGACCATAATGTGCTATGTAAATAAAACACTATGGCCACTTTGATAAAAAGAAAAGGCTTAAGAATTTCTTGAATGCAGTTCTGGTTCTTATTTTAGCACTTTTTCCCTCTTGTCTTTGTTCTTGTTCTAAAAAGTAATCCTGGTGTTGGTGTTAGGCTCTGAGTTGTTCCACTTGCAGGTGTGTTGCCTACTTTTGAATTATGCAATTAAAACTGAGAAGACCTTATCTAACAGGTGAACTGTGCATTGCATTTTGCAAGCTTTTTATTTAATCAGGCAAGGTGGTGAGAGTGTGATGATGGGGTGGTATTTCTGTGTTTCTTTGTTTTCTTAAAGGAAGAAATTATCTTAGGCTCCTTGGAGAAAGTAGTACCAAGTTGTCTCCTAACATTTTGATTATGGGGCTATTTGTTTCAGTGATACAGTTCATACTAAGTGTTGGTGTGGCCCTGGGTTTAGTCTCTAGCACCAAAAAAAGAATTATCATTTATGCCTTCATTAGCCTGACAAGAGCCCAGTGGGATATGTTACGCCCATTTTACAGCTGGAGAAGCTGAGGTATAGATGTTTTTGTCTTTATCTTAAGCTCCAGCATCTATCTGATACAAAAATCCCACTTCCATTAATAAGAATAAAGATCATGCCAGGCACTGGTGGGCTTCATATAATCCTAGCTATTTAGGAGGCAGAGATTAGGATCTGGGTTCAAAGCTAGCCTCAGGCAAATAGTTTGTGAAACCGTGTCTTGAAAATAACCAACACAAAAAAGGGCCTTGAGTTTAAGCCCCAGTACCTCAAAAATAAATAATAAATAAAGATCATTTGTTCCCTACTTAGATAAGTCATTTCCTTCTAAAAGATAAGCACCTATTTAAATTTATATTATCTTGGTTTCCTCTGTATACACCAATAAGCCATTCAGCAGTAAGGTGAAAGTAAATTTGTAATTTCTGTTCCACTGTGGGGTATTGAATCTGTATGTGTTGTTTGACATGATTATACCATTCACAAGTGCAGCTTTCTAATACCAGGATAAAAATATGACTAAACTGCTCTTCTTGCAACCCATGGGTTAGTAGGGGTGATGGTTATGTTTTCCTGCTGTTTGTTTGTGGGACTAGGGTTTGAACTCAGGGCTTCACACTTGCAAAGCAGGCACTCTACCACTTGAGCCACATCTCCAGTCAGTTTTGCCACTTCTTGGTGGGTGAAAAGAATTTGGAATTGTGAGTACATATGAGTTCATAGTGACAGTGGCCTGTTTTTCTCCATAAGTTAAAAATAAAAATGGGGAAAATGGCCTCAATAGCTTAGTGGTTAAGAACATGAACTCTGGAGTCAGATTTACTAGTGTCAAATTATTTTCACTTGTCAGTTTCAATTTCCCTATATCAAAATGGGAAAGACTATTATAAGGAGCAATAAAATAGTGTACATGAAACCACCTAGCAGTGCCTGGCTGCGGGTGCTCTCTCGTCGACTAAGAGCCTCATACCCTGCTAGACTATTGGTTGTCTCAGAACAAGTAAGCAGTGGCCAAGGACTTTGAAAAGGACTTCCTTATTGATTTAAAACCTGGTTTAAACTGTTTTACACTTAAAAATTTTAACCTCACAGGAGACTGGATACTAGAACTTTTCAAAGGATCAACTACATGTTAGTACAGGTAAACTTTAATGTCAGTTTGATTTTTTTTATTTGGAAAATATTGTGTGAATGTGTTTCATTCTACCCTTAAGAATTTATGATTGAACAAAGTCATTATAATTATACAAACACTCACTGCCCTTCTTAAAAGAAGAAGGGAAGCACTGAATCTTCTGAAGTACCTGTTCATATGA